AAGGGGCTAGTAACCCCGTCTCCTGTATATATTACTAAATTTAAAAAGAGAAACTATCGTTTTTCTTTTTAGGTCACTCTGCCTCGGTGGGATACGGCCAGTTCGTTGAAAAATATTAATAATAAATATCTTTATTTCTACAAGTATATGATACAACTTATACAGACCATAGTTGACAACATTGACATACTGGGTAGAAAGTCCCGGGTTATGTAGAGCATTTCACGCGAATTAAGTTAATCTTGTTCCCCAGGATGCGACCCACACCAGTCGGCTAACACCCTGGTACCTATTTGCTTGCTAGGTGAACATGGACAGCAGGTGTCTTAAGGAAACACGCTCCAATGTTTCCACCCGTACTGGGGATCGAACCAATGACCCCCAGTGTGTGAACTAAGTGCGCTACCAACCAAACCACGGGACGCCACTGAACCGATGGTTCTCTCAACAAAACTCTAAATAATTATTTCATTTAAACTAATCTCGTTATCTCATTGTCGGTTCTGAAAGTGAGAACAGAGAATAAGGAACTCACATAGGAAGAGTGGAACATTACAGTAAGTCTGCTGCCCATGCTAGGCAAGTCTAACACCTACTCATATACCCGTCCAACTTGCCTAAATGACGCTGCCTGGCAGTTTGTTCCACTTATCTACAACTCTATTGCCAAATCATTATTCTCCTGTATCATTTTTGACTAAAAATTACCTAAATTGAAGCCATTACTGCGAATTTTGTCATGATTAGAAATACAAAATAAGACGAATCTACTGAAGAAGACCTCATCTCGAGGTCAAAATACAAATTTTTCTGAGTGTTTCTCACACTTAGATTTTTTTTTCACGCAGCTGCAATGTTAAGCTACTGAAGGATTTTACTCATTATTATGATTCTGAATTTCAGGCTGAATGACTGAAGAAACTGTAAATAACACGAGTGACAACAGATCACAGAACGACTGGGACTCGAACCCGCGACAATCAGTCTTAAAACTTTCAGACCAGTGTTACATAGTCTGTGAATTTAAGGTCATACTTTATATATATATATATATATATATATATATATATATATATATATATATATATATATATATATATATATATATATGCAAAACAACCACTCTGAAAGAATAGAGAAATTCCAAGCGCTTTCGTGACTACTCACATTATCAAGTTCCTTGATAATGTGAGTACTCACGAAAGCGCTTGGAATTTCTCTATTCTTTCAGAGTGGTTGTTTTGCATATTCTGAAATCACCTGTTTACTGTGATCTTATTGCATATATATATATATATATATATATATATATATATATATATATATATATATAATATATATATATATATATATATATATATATATATGTCGTGCCGAATATGTAAAACTGGTCAATTAGCAAGAACTCATTTAAAATTAAGTCCTTTCTGAAATTTTCTCTTATACGTTTAAAGATATATTTTTTCATTAATGTTAATGTAAAAATTTTTAATTTTGCACCAAAAGGAACTTAGAAAACTTACCTAACCTTATTATAACAAGAGCAATTTATTTTAGCCTAACCCAATTAAATATATTTTAAATACGTTTACAATAATTTAATACTAAACAAACACAGTGAAATATATTTTTTTCGTTAGGTTCATAATGATTTTGGCGAAATTATTGCATACACAAATTTTCACTTGTCCTATATGGCAAGATGAACTTTGCTATTTAAGCCAAGATCGCAAGTTCTGCCTATTCGGCACGACATATATATATATATATATATATATATATATATATATATATATATATATATATATATATATATATATATATATATATATAATATAATATATATATATATATATATATATATATATATATATATATATATATATATATATATATATATATATATATATATATATATATATATATATATATAGGGTTGTCTTGATGGTGTGATGAGCTTTTGATCCAAAGAACTGGAGCTAGCCTTCCCTTTCCCTGGATCAAACCTGATTACCATCCCTTCCTCTGCTGTTTCATAATCAATTTCACTAAAATAATATTCGTTGACTAAGTAATTAGTTCTACCGTTTTCACGAACGCTGTTCTAAGATATCAGTAGATAAGCTAGTTAATCGGGTTTCAATCCTATCGACTACATCAGGGTGATTAAGGCTCCCTGGCACCTGTGCATCACCTGATGTGAATACTTTACTCTTTAAGTCAGTATGTATAAGTTTATTGTTTCTATGTATGAATGTATGTATAGTGTTATTATTGATGTTTCACTCGCGAAACATCGTTAAAATAAAAACTTGATGTACAGTCTGTCTTTACCATGTAACAACATCAGAAGGCTAAAAGCATGGTAAGGAAATTGAGAATCTTTAGTACTACGTATAATGTTTAGCTACTTGTAGACGGGCGAACTTTTAACAAAGTTAATGTCTCAGTGCACAGCAGAATCCCAACCTGAACACTCTGTATCACACTGCAGCATCTCAGCCAGATGGGATCTGGCTGAGATGCTGAGGGGCGAGAGTACTGTGTACTTTGACACAGAGTGTGCAGGTTCGAATCCTGGCATTGACTGAGAGATAATGTTTGTTAATACTACGTGTGATATGAATGAATAATTTAAGAATCACTGAGCCATGTGAATTTATAAATAGTGGCACCAGTGCCATTAAACTGACGTGTGTTATATTGTCATAGAGGAGCTGAAGGTTGAACTCAGTGCGTGAGTTTTAAACCTTAACAGTGTGAGAAGAACGCATAATTATGCTGTTCAAAGAGTGAATGTGAACCTGCTGGTGGTTCTTGAACCTTGCTTTACCAGGAATCAAGATTACAACAGCACCAGCTGCAACACTCCTCGTGCCAGCTGCAACACTCCTCGTGCCAGCTGCAACACTCCTCGTGCCAGCTGCAACACTCCTCGTGCCAGCTGCAACACTCCTCGTGCCAGCTGCAACACTCCTCGTGCATGCCATGTACATCATGCAACAACAAAAAATCCCAAACTTTGCAAATGTAACTTTGGACGACTATTGGGTCTCTGCTAGACCATTATCTGGTCGCTGCTGACCAGATAATGGTCCAGGGAGGACCGAATAAAAACTTGTGGAAAGTTACCATTCCAGTGTCGTAATGTTTTCCAGGCGGTACTGGTGGTAACATTAGGACATGTGTCCTTAAGACACCTGCTGTCTGTGTTCACCTAGCAGTAAAATAGGTACCTGGGTGTTAGCCGGCTGGTTACGGTCGCATCCTGGGGACAAAATTACCATAATTTGCCCGAGATGTTATACATAACAAGGGACTTCCTATAAAGTATTATATCTTTGATGTCAGCTATGGTCTTTATGCCTTGTACATGTACTTGTAGAAATAAGGATTGTAATTATTATTATTATTATTATTATTAATTATTATTATTATTATTATTATTATTATTATTATTATTATTACAGAGTGTGTCGCTGCTGAAATATTGCTTCTTGGTAAAACGAAACACAATAAATCAGAGGAGATTAATAATCAGTCTTGGAGAGACGTAAGTCCGTCCTGTCCTCCAGCTCTTAATATTTATAACTAATTAATGCGTTAACGACCATCTATGCCAATATAACACGACAGTACCACTAAATTATTATAAGTTTTAATTTTCGTTTCGAAATTACTCTGGGTTTTCTGTGATTAGATAAAAGAAATTTACAATGGTGGTTATACAAGTCTATTTTAACAGGAATGGTGGAGTCGATATCGACCAATGGCTAAAAATGGACTAAAACTGCAGTAAAATATAGAGCGTGGCGGAATGTTCACTGCCAGGAGGTGTGTCACTGCTCAATAAACTTGTCCCTCGGGATTAAATTCAGAGTCACGATCAGATTCACGCCACACTCACTGTGCTGCTTCCACACTCTACCGTATTTTTAACTGTGTTTATATATATGTATGTACGTACGTATGTACGTACGTATGTATGTTATATATATATATATATATATATATATATATATATATATATATATTATATATATATATATATATATATATATATATATATATATAATTCGTTGTATACATATATCTCGGTCACGAACTAATGTCAGACTGAGTGGTACAAGCGGCAAAACGACCTTTTAATTTGTCGGGTGATGTGTATAGTGATGATACCTATGGCTATTACACTCGTGTGTAATAGCAGTGAGTGGAGCTTTCTCTCTCTCTCTCTCTCTCTCTCTCTATCTCTCTCTCTCTCTCTCTACTACCTGACAGCCATGGGGAAATTTATCACATGACACGAAATTACGGTGTATTCTCACGAAGTGCTTGTTAGCGCCGCCTCCTGCATAACACTCTTCGCCCTCCCTCACAACCTTCCTTCATCCACGCATCAATAAACCATCCTCAGAGATGGTAATTCCCAGGTAACTCCAGCTGGAACGAAACCTCTCTAAATATTCAAGACTGGAATGCCTGACGCAGTCCCCAGCTCACTGCCCATACTGAAGAGTCTTCCAGCACAGGATGACAACTTTAATTACCTAATGTACAAAATCCATTCAACGTTATGAAATGTTAGTTTTTTAACCGCAGAAAAAAATGCAAAGAAGACCAGAATTTAGTATATTTCCATTCATTTAATATTTGGGAATTAACGTTATAAAAACACAAGGACCTAAAGTGAGTATTTACCTCATAGTGGAAAAAGAACCAGATATCCGCCCCCACTATGTAGCTCTCATACAAAGTTGAGTAGCAACACTGCTGACATGCATAATTTAGTTTAAGAAAATCCCAGCGTCAGTGACACCAGGTGATTCTTCTTTCAGTGTTTCCCAAAGATTCACCTTCCCTAGGGTTAGTTAGGGAATTAACCTTACCTGTGCCATGGCTACACCCAGTCCAGGCAAGACAAACAGTACCACATTACCAGATCTTAAGAACACGGAGGCAAACAAGATAATGCAAACTTAAGAAATTTTTGTACTTACGGTAAACCGTGGTCGTGGTGACAAGGATGTACAAATGTGCCGCTGGCGGTGGTGTAGCCTGCGGGAGTGTATCCGTGTAGAGAGGGGGCCGGAAAGGGGGGCTACGGGTAGTGGGTTAACGGAGGTGGTAGCGAGTCACGGAGGGACAGTCGACGGCCTCTTCTCCAGACTGACGCCCGCGTTGGAGTCACGCGAAGCTCCCCTTGCAGGCCGGTTATATAGCCCCAGGTTTCCCGCCAACCCCCGTCCCGCCTTCCCGCCAAAAGCCCCGCCCATCAAGTCCACCTACGCCATCGGCTTGCCTTACATATTAAGTGATTCTATGTGAGATATTGCCGCTTTTGGGCCATGATGTACAGCTGACATGAGCTAGAAAACGAGTGAGTGATGAGCTAGAGGCATAGAGAAGCGCCAGAGAATCGCTCGCAACATCCGCTGGCAATTTCGTGACCTGACTCTTAACATAGACCAGTATGAAAATGACTTTCTGGCCAACGAAGGTTGCATACATGAAGATCATTAATAATGCTGGTAAATGAAATAACGTAACGTGTTTTTTTCATTGCTTATACACGTTTCGTCGTGGCACGGACGATGGAAAGATGGGGAAGACGAAGAAGAGAAGGAGGAGGACCAATAGGACAAGAAAAATGTGTAAGAGGAGAAAAGGAAGACAAGGAAGATGAAAACAAAGTAGACAAAGACGCATAGGAGGAAAAAGAGCAGCAGAAGCAGCAGCAGGAGGTAGGAAAAATAAAGAGGGGTAAGGGGGTTAAAGGGGAGTAGAGGCCATGACGTAAGAGTGACGTCAAAACAAGAGCCCTGGTCATCAGGCAGCAAGAGGAAAAACAGAGGAAAACCGTCTTCCCCAGGATGGAAATTGCTGGATTTTCCACAGTCTGCCCACGAAGTGACATTTTATGTATAATTAAATTTCTTATGCAGCGAATTGCGCAGCGACCCTGAACGTTTGCGAGGGAGTGTTACAGTGCGTAGAGCGGGACATAACAAAGCAGGGAGGGTTGTAACGGCTAGCTGGCTGAGACGTTAGTGGCTGAAATGTGAGTGGCCAAGACGTTAGTGGCTATAATATTATTGGTAGAGACGTTAGTGGCTAAGTTGCTAGTTGTTAGTTAAGACGTTAGTGAGTTCTTAGGATATCTGCGTTAGTGGCTGGAAAGTGCTAGCAGTGTTAGAATTATTAGTGGCTAAAAGTATTATTGCTAGTGCTGGGAGGTATTCCTGAGTGGGAGTGTGTTAGTGTTAGCTACTGCCAAGTGTTAGTACCTGGTAAGTGTTAGTGGTTGGTAAGTGTTAGTGACTGGGAAGTGTTGGTGTTAGTGAGTGGAACATGTCAGTAGCTGGGAAGACTTAGTGAGTGGAACAGTGTTAGTAGCTGGGAAGACGTAGTGAGTGGAACAGTGTCAGTAGCTGGGAAGACGTAGTGAGTGGAACAGTGTCAGTAGCTGGGAAGACGTAGTGAGTGGAACAGTGTCAGTAGCTGGGAAGACTAATGAGTGGAACAGTGTCAGTAGCTGGGAAGACGTAGTGAGTGGAACAGTGTCAGTATCTGGGAAGACGTAGTGAGTGGAACAGTGTCAGTAGCTGGGAAGACCTAGTGAGTGGAACAGTGTCAGTAGCTGGGAAGACTAATGAGTGGAACAGTGCCAGTAGCTGGGAAGACGTAGTGAGTGGAACAGTATCAATAGCTGGGAAGACGTAGTGAGTGGAACAGTGTCAGTGGCTGGGAAGACGTAGTGAATGGAACAGTGTCAGTATCTGGGAAGACGTAGTGAATGGAACAGTGTCAGCAGCTGGGAAGACGTAATGAATGGAACAGTGTCAGTATCTGGGAAGACGTAGTGAATGGAACAGTGTCAGTATCTGGGAAGACGTAGTGAGTGGAACAGTGTCAGTAGCTGGGAAGACGTAGTGAATGGAACAGTGTCAGTATCTGGGAAGACGTAGTGAGTGGAACAGTGTCAGCAGCTGGGAGACGTAGTGAATGGAACAGTGTCAGTATCTGGGAAGACGTAGTGAGTGGAACAGTGTCAGCAGCTGGGAAGACGTAGTGAATGGAACAGTGTCAGTATCTGGGAAGACGTAGTGAGTGGAACAGTGTCAGCAGCTGGGAAGACGTAGTTAATGGAACAGTGTCAGTATCTGGGAAGACGTAGTGAGTGGAACAGTGTCAGTAGCTGGGAAGACGTAGTGAGTGGAACAGTGTCAGTATCTGGGAAGACGTAGTGAGTGGAACAGTGTCAGTAGCTGGGAAGACGTAGTGAGTGGAACAGTGTCAGTAGCTGGGAAGACGTAGTGAGTGGAACAGTATCAATAGCTGGGAAGACGTAGTGAGTGGAACAGTGTCAGTGGCTGGGAAGACGTAGTGAATGGAACAGTGTCAGCAGCTGGGAAGACGTAATGAATGGAACAGTGTCAGTATCTGGGAAGACGTAGTGAATGGAACAGTGTCAGCAGCTGGGAAGACGTAATGAATGGAACAGTGTCAGTATCTGGGAAGACGTAGTGATTGGAACAGTGTCAGTAGCTGGGAAGACGTAGTGAATGGAACAGTGTCAGTATCTGGGAAGACGTAGTGAGTGGAACAGTGTCAGCAGCTGGGAAGACGTAATGAATGGAACAGTGTCAGTATCTGGGAAGACGTAGTGATTGGAACAGTGTCAGTAGCTGGGAAGACGTAGTGAATGGAACAGTGTCAGTATCTGGGAAGACGTAGTGAGTGGAACAGTGTCAGCAGCTGGGAAGACGTAGTGAATGGAACAGTGTCAGTATCTGGAAGACGTAGTGAGTGGAACAGTGTCAGCAGCTGGGAAGACGTAGTGAATGGAACAGTGTCAGTATCTGGGAAGACGTAGTGAGTGGAACAGTGTCAGCAGCTGGGAAGACGTAGTTAATGGAACAGTGTCAGTATCTGGGAAGACGTAGTGAGTGGAACAGTGTCAGTAGCTGGGAAGACGTAGTGAGTGGAACAGTGTCAGTATCTGGGAAGACGTAGTGAGTGGAACAGTGTCAGTAGCTGGGAAGACGTAGTGAGTGGAACAGTGTCAGTAGCTGGGAAGACGTAGTGAGTGGAACAGTGTCAGTAGCTGGGAAGACTAATGAGTGGAACAGTGTCAGTAGCTGGGAAGACTAATGAGTGGAACAGTGTCAGTAGCTGGGAAGACGTAGTGAGTGGAACAGTGTTAGTAGCTGGGAAGACGTAGTGAGTGGAACAGTGTCAGTAGCTGGGAAGACGTAGTGAGTGGAACAGTGTCAGTAGCTGGGAAGACGTAGTGAGTGGAACAGTGTCAGTATCTGGGAAGACGTAGTGAGTGGAACAGTGTCAGTAGCTGGGAAGACGTAGTGAGTGGAACAGTGTCAGTAGCTGGGAAGACGTAGTGAGTGGAACAGTGTCAGTAGCTGGGAAGACTAATGAGTGGAACAGTGTCAATAGCTGGGAAGACGTAGTGAATGGAACAGTGTCAGTGGCTGGGAAGACGTAGTGAGTGGAACAGTGTCAGTAGCTGGGAAGACGTAGTGAGTGGAACAGTGTCAATAGTGGGAAGACGTAGTGAGTGGAACAGTGTCAGTAGCTGGGAAGACGTAGTGAGTGGAACAGTGTCAGTAGCTGGGAAGACGTAGTGAGTGGAACAGTGTCAGTAGCTGGGAAGACGTAGTGAGTGGAACAGTGTCAGTAGCTGGGAAGACTAATGAGTGGAACAGTGTCAGTAGCTGGGAAGACGTAGTGAGTGGAACAGTGTCAGTGGCTGGGAAGACTAATGAGTGGAACAGTGTCAGTAGCTGGGAAGACGTAGTGAGTGGAACAGTGTCAGTAGCTGGGAAGACGTAGTGAATGGAACAGTGTCAGTAGCTGGGAAGACTAATGAGTGGAACAGTGTCAGTAGCTGGGAAGACGTAGTGAGTGGAACAGTGTCAGTAGCTGGGAAGACGTAGTGAGTGGAACAGTGTCAGTAGCTGGGAAGACGTAGTGAGTGGAACAGTGTCAGTGGCTGAGAAGACTTAGTGAGTGGAACAGTGTCAGTAGCTGGGAAGACGTAGTGAGTGGAACAGTGTCAGTAGCTGGGAAGACTTAGTGAGTGGAACAATGTCAGTAGCTGGGAAGACTTAGTGAGTGGAACAATGTCAGTAGCTGGGAAGACGTAGTGAGTGGAACAGTGTCAGTAGCTGGGAAGACGTAGTGAGTGGAACAGTGTCAGTAGCTGGGAAGACTTAGTGAGTGGAACAATGTCAGTAGCTGGGAAGACGTAGTGAGTGGAACAGTGTCAGTTTCTGGGAAGACTTAGCGAGTGGAACAGTGTTAGTGGCTGGTCAGTGTTAATGTTGCTGTTAGTGGCTGGTCAGTGTTAATGTTGCTGTTAGTGGCTGGTAAGTGCTAACGAGTGGGACTGTGTTAGTAGCTGGGAGGTGTTAGTGACTGGGTGAGTTACTAAACACTAACATCTTCAGAGTGCAACGCTGTAGAGTTACCAGTTAAACATTAGTCCTTGCCATCATCTCTCACGCGTTTAATCTTAATCAAATCAAGTCTAAGCTAAGAGCGAATGCAAGGATAAACAGAGCCAACAACAAAAAAAAAAAAACAGTGTATTTGTGAGCAAAAAATTGTTGGAAATCTAGCTCGACACTCAAATATTATTTCACTGGCAGTCACCTGCATAACGTTTGGGAATCACATATACCGTGTGTGTCTGGACAATATACACACTATCCGAGATCAAATCTCTTTGTATCCCATACTACAGGCGTTATATTGATCCTTAAGGGCTTAACGCTTCCCTATGAATAATAAAAAGTAATATATTATTGGCACTGGGGCATCAAAGGAGGCTGGTAATGGTGACCAGAGGTTATAAACAGCCTCGGGGTCAGGTCACTTGCAAGATTACCACCCACCATGAGTACACTGAGAGTAAACACACTAAGCGTCCGGGGCTCAAGACTGTTCAATAGCCTACCACCAGGCATAAAGGGAATTACCATTAGACCCCTGGCGGCCTTCAAGAGGGAGCTGGACAGATACCTAAAGTCAGTACCCGACCATCTGGGGTGTGGTTCGTACGTTGGACTACGTGCGGCTAGCAGTAGTAGCAGCTTGGTTGATCAGGCCCTGATCCACCGGGAGACCTGGTCAAGAACTGGACCACGGGGGCGTTGACCCCCGGAG